GTAAATACTGGACATGTCATGATAGTCAGGATTATTAGCTAGAAGAATATGGAGAGCGCGACGTTGGTGAGTATTCAGTTTGGAGCGTGATAGTTTCCAGGCTTTAACTAGTACTGCCAAAGGGGATTCAAGAGCACCTTTTTGGAAAGTAGAGCGTGCGGACTATGCAGATGGGCCAGTGAGGTTTCCAGCTGTTTTTAGGATAGTTTCCATTCTATCACAATGACTTGTTCATTGACTATATATTAAGTCTAAATTTACAGGTAAACTTTTTTTACTAAGGCTGCTTTGCCTTTTTTTTTTTTTTAATAGTTTTAAGCCCTGGCACCTCTAAGAACAGGTGATACACAACTATCCATGTATTCTCCTAGTTTGCTTGAATAATGTTTTGTGTATTATGGAATTTACCTGACATGATAAATTTATCTCTTAACATAGGTCTGTTTTATCACAAAAAATCTAGTTCCTTTATTCTAGACCGCCAACTGATAAAGCTATAACTGGCAAAATGAGTTCTGGCTTAAACAGACTGGGCTACCAGGACTGGATAAGTGCATATTGCATATGTTTATTGTTTTTAATACAGTCATTTATGTTTTGACTTTTATCCAATAAAAATTGGATTTAGCACTACTAGTAGTCTGTCTTGCTCCAGGTTCCGATCTGGGGAGTGTCACTCCACAATCTGACATCAAGTGTTTCCACCTTAGAGCCAATGCAAAACAATGATCTGGTAAGGAGAGAGTCTTATTTATTGGTTTTAACCTTACTACTTATGTAGATGTACTGCACCATAATCCCCTATCTTATCTCTGCTTATCTTGAGAGTGGAATTCATCTGAAGAAGGTGGGGTGTTGCCCATAAGAGCACATTTACGCTATTATAGATCTGTATTACTGCACTAGTGTTGTTTTATTTATATTGTTTATTATTCTCTTTCATGTTTAACTGCATCAAGATCTGTGTATTGGTGTATTAGGGGTAAGCAATTATTGCATGTAAAATAATATTTTTAGTGCTCCATTTCAAAAATTACAAGAGAATCCTTGTAAATCATTTTTGTTTATTTAGGGTGAGGGATGGAAGGTATTCCCTCACGGGTGCTTTAGAGCTGCTATAATTTTTACTAATTTATTGTGAAGAGCTTAATTACATTGACTCCTTGAGAGTTATTTTGGCCTTTATTCTTGATATTCAAGTAAGGATATACATTTTTTTTTTTTAAAATAAAATAAATCATCACCAAACCTCTGTACATATCAAATGGACAAATAGGACCTCTTACATTTTAGGTGTGTGAGTGTGGTTGTGGCCATTTAGGTGACTTACTAATAACAATTTTTGCAGTTTAAATTTAATTCAGAACAACCGTGTCTTATTTACACCAACAGCATGGAGCTCCTAGAAAAGAGGAACATTAAAAAAGGAAAAAGGGACAGAAGAATTTGGACCCAAAATAGGGACTTTCCATTCTAAATTGGGAGGTATGTTCACTGCTGATTGCGCTTGGTTCAGTTTGGTTAGAAGCCTCAAAACACATTATTAATCAATGTATACATACATCTATTAGTTTCTTTATACTTCTAAAAGAATAAATATCATTCAAGTTAGATACTATTGCAATTATTCGGTGCTTGTCATCCACTTTCAAAATGGTTGTTCAAAATAGTTTTGTAGCAATGGCCTTATGACAATTAGATTATTAAAGCTAAAAGTGGACACCTTTACTTTTATGCTAAGAAATTAATAACATTGTGACATTGTTAAATTATTATTTTCAACTTGCATGCGTTTTATGCCATTTTTGGAATTCTAATGTAATGATAATACAGCACAAGAAGGGCACACAAGACACAGTAATGTATTCCAAAAATCAAAGGTATTTAGAGTCAGAGAAAAATAATGACTCTGGCACTACACCCCACTGATATAGGGTGGAAGGAAAAGTAGATGTCAGAGTGATGACTATTCTATATACTTAGAGATTAATTTCAGACAAAACTGCAATTCATCTGAATTTGTGCCAACTGGATGAGTGTTCAACACGTGCAAAAACAAGCATTGATTCCTGGCACCAGAAAAAAAAGATGGGATAGACTTGAGAAAAGGACAATTTGGGGGGGAGGGGCGTGGTGGGGGCATGTTGGGAAGATCTGACTAAATGGTGATTTCATTCAAAGATCAAGTGAAGAGACCAGTATAAGGGGGGAGAAGGAGCAATTAACAACTGTACTTCCAAGCAGGGTCATTCAAGATACTTTGAATTCATCTAATAATAATATTGTGAGGTAAGCAGCTGCTACATAACAAACCAGTGCTACTATCAGCCCATGAAGGTCACTCAACAACACAAGCACAGTGGGTGGAACAGGCAATAGTGTAGTAATTTTAATACAATAATAATAAACACACACTTTAAACCCCTTCAGGATGGAGTCAATTGTACATGTTCTGATCAAAACAGTAGACACTTAGTCACAAACACTGGCCAAAGTAAGGGTTCATATTTGTTTTGTGTGTGGAAAATGCAAAAAACTAATTTGAATGCCAATTTTGGCCAGTGTTTGTGACTAAGTGGCTACTAAAAAAGACTGGACATACCCCATTTGCAATACCTCGGGTTGTCTACTTTTGCAAATGGTATGCCATCATGGGGGTAATTCTCATTCCTGGGTTACCATATGGTCTCAAAGGCAACATAACCAATCTGGGGAATTTCAATGTGAAAAAACCTGAAACACAAGCCTTATATTTGACTCTGTAACTTTTGAAAACACCATAAACCATGTACATCAGGAGACTTGGAGAACAGGAAAACAACAAATACAGGGTGCGCTAAGCAGAACAGGGGGAAATGGTACACAAGTCTCTGAGAGTAAAATGTAGACCTTGGATGGGTATTCTTTGGTTCTTGCTCGGGTCCTCAGTTGTAAATATGAAATACAAAAGCAGAAACAACAAAAGGGACCAATGGTGCAGAACTGTTTAAAATATAGCCACGGATAACATAGAAGTAGAGAAGTGTAAACTCACAATGTAAAGAGCTATGCCCAGCTCTAGGTAAAACAGCATACAGTGGTATTTGAAACTCCCCACAAGTAGGATATAACTGGACAACAGGAGGTATTCTTCAATATTTCATACAGTGTCTTAGATACATGTCAGCATATAAAATACAGAAAATAAGGGAAAACCCAATGGTTCAATAACGTAAGTCAACTGCAGCTACAGACAACACTAAGGTCCTGAGAGTACCAACTTACAATTGGGAGAGCTATAATCAGCTCTGAGTAAAACAGCATACAGTGGTATTTAAACTCCCCACATGTAGGATATTCTTCTAGCGATTTTTTGCAGTGCAGGTAATATGTAAAATAAAATCACAAAAGAAGGCCCATAGTGCGTTCAGTGGATAAGATGGAATTAAAAGGTAAATTAAACGTACTTACAATACATTTTATTCTCCGAGACTTGTGTACCATTTCCCCGTGTTCTGCTTAGCACACCCTGTATTTGTTGATTTGAGGGTTACCCTTCCCCTCCGGTTTGCAGCTCCATTTCCTCCTGTGATCAGTACTGTAGCGCTACTCCACACCCCTTTTTCTTTCCAGTTACATCAGGAGACTTTGCTGAATACAAATATTAGTGTTTTTAAAACCATAAAATGTATCACAAGAATTATATCATCAGTGTAAGTTCTGTTTGTGTATGAAAAATGCAAAAAACTTCACTTTCAGTGAAGATATCATCGTTGTAATACATTTTACTGTTTTGAAACGCTAATATTTGTATTCAGCGAGTCTCCCGAGTAAAACAGTATCTCCCATGTACAGGTTTTATGGTGTCTTGGAAAGTTACAGGGTTAAATATAGCACTAACAAATTAAATGCTCTGGACATTCCGCCTGGGTTATCAGGCAGATCCCTGAAATTGTAATTAATAAAATTACCTAATTATGTAGTAAAAAAAAAAAAAAATATATATATATATATATACATACATTTTTTTATTTTTTTTATTTATATATATTTATATATATATATATATAAATATATAGTGATATATACATATATTTATTTATATATATATTATTTTGTTCTAAGTGTATTTTAATATATATATATATATATATATATATATATATACGTCCCAGCTCTCTCTCTCTCTTTTTTCTCTCCCTCTCTCTCTCTCTCTCTCTCTCTCTCTCTCTCTCTCTCTCTCTCTCTCTCTCTCTATATATATATATATATATATATATATATATATATATATTATTATCAAAATACAGTTAGAATGAAATTACATATATATATATATATTTATTATTATTATTATTATTTTGAATTTTTTTATTTTTAACATATTTATATATTTATTTATTTTATATATATATATATAATTATAATTGTATATATATTTAATTAATATCATTCAACGTGTATTTTGCTATTTATATAAAATATATATAATTTTATTTTAAACTGTTTTAAAACTTTATTAAACTTTATTACAGACAGCAGGGGGACTACCTGTCATTCCAGGCACTCCCCCTGCTGGCACTGCTATGGATGGCTATTCTGTCCATGTGATTGTGAGGTCCTTGCAAGGACCTAGCAATCACATGCCCAGGAGGACCAGATTGGCAGCAGCGGGGCGACTCCCTGGAATGTCAGGTGAGTCCCCCCCATCACGATCGCTGGCGTGGGATAGCCGGCGAGCAGGTAAGTTGGAAGAACGTCGTGGACGTGCTATGCCGCCTGCCAGCGTTTAGAGCCGAGTCCCCAAGGACGGCATAGCATTTCCTTCTCCATTTTTTGTTGCAATACAAATTAAAAAAACAAAACAAAACAAATCTATTAGTATATTAATAACTACAGGGAGTGCAGAATTATTAGGCAAGTTGTATTTTTGAGGATTAATTTTATTATTGAACAACAACCATGTTCTCAATGAACCCAAAAAACTCATTAATATCAAAGCTGAATATTTTTGGAAGTAGTTTTTAGTTTGTTTTTAGTTATAGCTATGTTAGGGGGATATCTGTGTGTGCAGGTGACTATTACTGTGCATAATTATTAGGCAACTTAACAAAAAACAAATATATACCCATTTCAATTATTTATTATTACCAGTGAAACCAATATAACATCTCAACATTCACAAATATACATTTCTGACATTCAAAAACAAAACAAAAACAAATCAGTGACCAATATAGCCACCTTTCTTTGCAAGGACACTCAAAAGCCTGCCATCCATGGATTCTGTCAGTGTTTTGATCTGTTCACCATCAACATTGCGTGCAGCAGCAACCACAGCCTCCCAGACACTGTTCAGAGAGGTGTACTGTTTTCCCTCCTTGTAAATCTCACATTTGATGATGGACCACAGGTTCTCAATGGGGTTCAGATCAGGTGAACAAGGAGGCCATGTCATTAGATTTTCTTCTTTTATACCCTTTCTTGCCAGCCACGCTGTGGAGTACTTGGACGCGTGTGATGGAGCATTGTCCTGCATGAAAATCATGTTTTTCTTGAAGGATGCAGACTTCTTCCTGTACCACTGCTTGAAGAAGGTGTCTTCCAGGAACTGGCAGTAGGACTGGGAGTTGAGCTTGACTCCATCCTCAACCCGAAAAGGCCCCACAAGCTCATCTTTGATGATACCAGCCCAAACCAGTACTCCACCTCCACCTTGCTGGCGTCTGAGTCGGACTGGAGCTCTCTGCCCTTTACCAATCCAGCCACGGGCCCATCCATCTGGCCCATCAAGACTCACTCTCATTTCATCAGTCCATAAAACCTTAGAAAAATCAGTCTTGAGATATTTCTTGGCCCAGTCTTGACGTTTCAGCTTGTGTGTCTTGTTCAGTGGTGGTCGTCTTTCAGCCTTTCTTACCTTGGCCATGTCTCTGAGTATTGCACACCTCGTTGATAGCACTGTGCAGCAGGAGCTCATGCAAGATAAATCTTGTCAGCTCGCTAGTCAGGCTCTGCCCAGTGGCCTACTAAAGTGATGTGGGGGTGGGGTGGTCTGCCCCAGGTGCCACCAGGTAGGGGGGTGCCACCAGAGCTGGTGAGGCTTGGGGTTGTGGGAGCTGTGTGGCCGCACAGAGCGCCATGGCAGCAGGGGTGCCGGGCAGGCGACACAGCTCACAACCAGCGCTAATATATATATTGCATTCTGTTAAAATTTGCACAAAATTTGCAGCAAAATGTGTCTCCCACCCAGTTTAAAAAAAATGAACTTACTCTTAACACCAATTTGTATTATAAAAGAACGTGTATGTTAATGACTGCACAATATTGTTAATCCCTCTGTTTCTCAAAGGTTAATCTTTTGGAAAACACATAGTTTCATTGATCTTTGTGATGCCATGTTTGTCTATAATGAAATTCAGTCTAGATCATTAGCAACTCCATCTTACTATAGTCCAGTCATGCTCCATTCACTTGAACGTTCACATATATTTTCTACAGATGTAATTATTTATGATTGATTGTTGTACAGCTAGATTACTAGGAGGCATATTATCAGCTGAGCCTGTATATCTTTACACACATCGACATGGTGTTATGATCCTTATGCACACTATTATACTGTTCCTTCTCAAATATACATTAACATACATAATATGGAGCAGATATTCAGAATCGCCATGTATGTCAATGAAAAATGATTTTTTTTTTCTTGTCAGTGTCGATATGTATTCTGCCAGGTTCCCTTTCATTTAATTACATACTTACAAATTAAATTTTACATACATACAGAATTACTGTTTTTGGCATAAAAGATGAGACTGACACATTAGAGAGAGGGGTTGAATCAAAACTTTGTTCTCAGTGTCATGGTGGAATGTTCACTCATGCTCAGACTGGGCTTTCCCTTTGCTGTTGGAAGAAAAGGGGATTATCTCCAGGAAAACAAATTCACCAATATTAAAAAAAAAAAAATCTTGCAATCTAGCAATATCCTTTAAAGAACACTGTAGGCACAATAACCACTTCAATTGATTTAAGTGGTTATGGTGTCAAAAGTCCACAGGTGCCGGATCCTGCATCAGTTCCTGACAGCTTGAAGTCTGGTGGCTACATTTCATACCATACCAGAAACATCAGCGTAGAATATCATCATTCCTTTAATTAATCACTGCCTCAATCCCTGGTATGAATTGGTGTGGAACAAGCATTTTCTCCCTAAATTTAAAAACTCGACTAAGAAATTGTCTGACAGGCACATCATCAGTAAAAGTGGCTTTTGTGAATTGATGCTAAGGTATTGTTCAAATGCATGAGATGGAATCTGTAAAATTATAAGATAGAATAGTAACAAACCACCAATCAAATTCAAATAGTAGTATAATTATTGACATTTCAGATTATTAAAACATTTTAATAATTACAGAGAACAACTGTCATACCGTAACTTAAATGTTACTTTGTATCCCACCTGTCTCCATTGATTCACTCAGATGTTATACTATAGCTGTTTCTTGTTGGCTGGACATAGTGTACTTGCTGTGGTGTCCACATATTATTATTATTATTATTATTATTATTATTATTTTATTATTTCTATAGCGCCAGCAAATTCCGTAGCGCTGATATCCATGGGTGATCAGTCACAGCAGCATATAATACCAACTAATGGGTAACTGTCATTGCTTTCTCAACTTAATTAGCCTTTCCTATTTTGTTTTTATAATCCACCTCCTCTAGATTGTAAACTCATTTTAGAAGGGTCCTCGTCAACCTATTGTTCCTGTCAATATTTCTAACAGCTTGTCTATTTTTTGTCAAAGTCCCCTTAATAATCTTGCAAAGCACTGCGGAATAAGTTTGTTTTATATAAGTTCTCTATAAATAATAATAATAATAATTCTTACAATACAATGTCTTTCCAAGGTATACTGACATTATTAATCTTTAAATCTACTAGTTTGAATTAAACCTTTAGTTCAATAATGACAAATGCATTAAGTCATCTTGCCACTTAAACTGTTTCTTAGTTTACGTGACCTTTTTACTGTTCAAGGTTTAAAATAGTGAATTAGAAAAGTATCTTTTGTAGTCTCCCAAAATCCAACATTTAATTCTCATCAAATACATTTTTTTGTCTATCTGACATTTAGATGTATAGAATCACATATTTAAAATAGTTAATTATTCATGTAGCTCCAAAGCAGTTGTGTCATGTTTAGTTTTTAAGACATTCCATCTGTTTAACCACTTCACTGTAGATCAAGAATGTCAAACTTGCGGCCTGCAGTCTGCAAGCGGCCCACAGGGAATATATTTGTGTCCCACCTGCCCTGGGGCCACTTTGTGTTTTGGCTGTGACCAGCTGCAAGACAGGAAATATATTTCCTGTCTGATTCTTGTCTTCCCTCCCATCGCCAATCACGTGCTAACGCAGGCCAGCCACTCCCACTTCCCTTCTGTTGAGAAGTGTCTGGCTTGCTTGAGCAGAGAAGAGCAGGACTGGAACTGGAGGACGGCCGGCGCATCTTAAGTTAGGGGAAGAGGGGCTTGGGGCTTGGCACTTCCTGTGTAGTGTGTTAAATTGGGGAGGGGGCAGTGTATTAAATTGGGGCAGGGACTGGGGAGTTTATTATTTTAGGGAGCATGCACTGTATTAATTTGGGGGGCAGTGTAATAATTTGGGGGAGGAAAGAGGCAGTGTATTAATTTGGGGGAGGGAGGGGGCAGTGTATTATAGTGGTGGGAGGGGGAGGCAGTTTATTAAATGGTGGGAGGGAGGGCAGTGTGTTAAATTGGGGGAGGGCAATTTATTTATTTGGGGGAGGGAAGTGGGGAGTGTATTAGTGAGATGGGAGAGGGCAGTGTGTTAAATTGGGGGAGGGCAGTGTATTATATTAGAGTGCTCTGAGGAGGGAGGAGGGGCAGTGTCTTAGATTAAGGTGCAGTGTATTAGAAAGGGTGAAGGGGACAGGGTATTAGAGTGGAAAGGGAGTGTATTGGATTTGGGGGCAATATTTGATTTGTGGGCAGTGTATTAGAATGGGGAGAGGGGCCGCATATTGGATTTGTTGGCAGTGTACTAGAACGGGTCTGCATGGAGGTGCTGAACAATCCCCATGAAGATGCTGATGGGCCGTGCAGCTTTTTACCACACATGCAAAATAGCCTCCCAATGCTTTCCTATGGGAAAGCATTTGATTTGCTGAGATCATAAACATTGGTTATATGCAAATTCACGTCTCCTTAAAACAAATGTGTTCTTTTGTTTACTTTGAAGCCCTACGAGCATGTGGATGTCCAGTAAGGCAACTTTCTTTTTACTGTACTTTTCTAAATAAACCTGAAGTTTTAGTTTTTTTGCTGCCCACATAAACTTAAACCTTAGTTATTTAGCCAGTTTTAGCCTTTGGGCTTGACATGCTTGCTGTAGACAGGGCCGGCCTTAGGGGTGTGCGAGCTGTGCGACCGCACAGGGCGCCATGGAACAGGGGGCGCCCTGTGGCCGACACAGCTCACTCATGGCCGGAGTGCAGGGGAGCTAAAAGAGGTACCTGGCTGGAGGATTAATTATTCTCCACCCGGGTCTATTAAAAAAAAAAAAAAAAAATCGCGGCAGAGGGGGCGGGGTTTACCGAGCGGCGGAGGCGGGGCTTATCGAGAGGCGGAGACGGGGCTAATACCTCCCGAAGCCCCTGCTGTACAGGAAGAGGGAAAGATGCTTCCCCATCAGCCAACTGCATCCACTGGAAAGAGGTAAGTGTGTGTGTGTGACTGTTTGCCTGTTTGTGTGACTGTCTGTCTGTGTGTGTGTGTGACTGTCTGTCTGTGTGACTGCCTGCCTGTGTGCGTGTGACTGTCTGTGTGTGTGTGTGTGTGTGACTGTCTGTGTGACTGCCTGTCCTTGTGTGTGTGTGTGTGTGTGTGACTGTCTGTCTCTGTGTGTGTGTGTGTGACTGTCTCTGTGTGTGACTGCCTGCCTGTGTGTGACTGTCTGTGTGTGTGACTGTCTGTCTGTGTGACTGCCCATGTATGTGACTGCCTGTCTGTGTGACTGTCTGTGTGTGTGACTGTCTGTCTGTGTGTGTGACTGCCTGTATGTGACTGCCTGCCTGCCTGTGTGTGTCTGTCTGTAACTATCTGTCTGTGTGTGACTGCCTGCCTGTGTGTGTGACTTTCTATCTGTGTGACTGCCTGCCTGTGTGTGTATAACTGTCTATGTGTGTGTTACTGTGTGTCTGTCTGTGTGTGTGACTGCCTATGTGACTGTCTGTCTGTGTGTGTCGCTGTAGCTGTGCCATTGTTTGTGCCTGTGCCTGTATGTGTGACTGCCTTTAACTGAGTGTGTGTGTACATGCCTGTAACCGAGTTTAAATTTCCCCCACCCCTTCCTGTCAAGGCCGCACTTTGACTGACAGACGCTCACTCACTGACAGACGCACACTCACTGACGACACATACACACTCACTGACGACACATACACACTCACTGACTGACACATACACACTCACTGACTGACACATATACACTCACTGACCAACACACACATTCACTCACAGACACACACACATTCAC